TCCTTTCAAGCCTGTCCTCTGCAATCTCTGCTTTTTTCAGTATGAAGTCTTATTACAGCATCATATTGAGAACTCACATTGAATTTCTTTCCAGTGTATAAACCCCAGTTTTCACCTAGCCACTGTGTAGCAGGGCATTAAAAGTATTAGAAACACTCCAATTTTGTTTAGATATGCTGTGTTTGTCAAACTATTAATATTGTATTATAACCCTGTCCTCTTCCATTTTCCTGTTACCTGGCTCTTTGTGCCATCTATAAAAGCAGTTGGTAATGATCAGTCTTCAAGGTTGTGATGAAAAATATGCCAGCTTGGCCAAATCCTGCAGAATCTACCAAAATTACCTCCATTCAGTGAGGTGAAGATAGATGTTCTTTGAGGTCCTATGATGAATTACTATCAATCCATTTGATACCTTTGTACTAATAATAGTAAGGTGTCAGATGTCTGATCGGATGAAAAAAGGTAAAAAGCCATACAGTTCACAAAGTGTAATACAGCTCAGCCTTTACTTTTTTGCAGCCAAGCCCTTGATTTCATAAAAGAATGAAAACATATGAACTGCAACTAACAGAGATCAGGTAATTCAGTTAGGCTGACTCTTCTGATGCTTTGTTTTTCATTTCAGAGCAATAATCGTTCTAAATATAATTTATAAAGTTAGAACAATAATTTAAAGCAAATTAACATGTAATATTTTGATGCTATCAAAATCTATTACTGATTTAAACCAATACATTAAATCAATTTTGTTTTTCTAAACTTAATATTTTCATTCTTGTTTGGAATGAATGATGGAGAAGATTTAAAAGCAATCTGGCAATGAGTCAATTTTATATGATGTTTCTTAATAGACTCTTCCTGTTACATAAGATGCCACTTGGTTTGATGAATATAAGAACAAAAATGTATTACTACTTATACTTTTTCTTCAACATTAGACTAAGCAGAAGAATACAAGCTTCCTCTTTTCCCTTAGGAATCAATCTACATATCTGTGACACAGAGTGTTTCTAAAACTGTTCTTGAATGTAGAAAATTATTCAGTTCACTAGGAGCTTGAAATACGATGTTAAAAGAAATGCAGGATTGGTTATTTAGGATTCTGATGATAGCAGCTTCTCTCAGTAAATGACTTCAGGAATGATGAAGATAAGGCTCACAGAAAGAGTGAATCTAGAGTGGGTAAGAGACAGCATCTCTCAAAGTCTATACCAGAGCACAGTTATGGTTTTGATAAGGGCAAATCCATAGCCAAAACTGTAAATTTAGTCAATAGACTTTTCCCCTCCAGCCGTCACAAGAAAGCACCATTTTCTTTAAAGCTAGCTCTAGATTTTAGAGAAATAAAGTCAGGAGGGAGAAGGATGAGATGAGAAAGCCTCTTTACTTCCAAGAACAAGTAATTTTAATTATCAATTTCAGCCAACTATTTCACCTCCAGAAATATCTTTTAAGACCTCAGAGATAAAGCTGATCTCAAAAAAAAAGGTTTGAGGTTGGAATAGATTCTGATCATGCCAAGACACACACCGCTGTATAACTTTACTCAGGTGAAGTCAGACAACTTCACCTGGTTTCTACAAACCTCCTCTCCTCCTCCATGGCAGTAGGACTGTGCTTCCCACATAGCACGCAACCAGTGCAAGAGGCAACATGATGCCTTCTCTCTCTTTTACTCCCTCCCCAGGAAAAGCAGCAGTCACAGGACAGTGTTACATCCTGCGTGCCATGGTTCAGCGTGACCCAGGCACTAGGGTTGGGACACGTTCCTCATGGCTGATCTGAACACAGTGAGAGTTCCTCTTAGCCATGCACACAGTGAGAGTCGACTACAACGGGTGACAAAGAGTACACAACACCGAGATCCATCTGCACATTAAAAATAACCACTCCTAATGTGCCTCAGCATGCCAGGGTGTTTACAAGAGCCCCAGTCTTGCTCCTATTTCTGGAGGTGAAATAGTTAGGATTTTTAGTGATAAGGCTTTGGTTTCAAATCTAGCAGTTGCTGTGTGTTTAAAGATAGTGAATACCAGTATCTCCATTTTGCATGTGAGGAAGCCAAATCACAGGGCCATAAAATTACTTTATCAGGACAGGACAAAGTGTCAAAGCCTGGCAGTAAAATCAAGAGAAGAATCTAGGTCTTCTGAGACATGGTTTCAGAGGCCATTCTGTCAGCAACATACTCAAGTACCATTCCCATTCTGTCTTCAACATAAATCTCTGTTTACAGGAGCTGTACCAAACTCAGCTGCTTTGCTTTCAGGTGCCTGCACCTGTCAAATGCCATTCTCCTGTCATTTTTCCCTCTGAGGGAATTCTGAGAGGGGTTTCCCGCTCAGCAGAAACACACCCCATGACACCTGAAGGAGATTTTGGATACTCAGCACTGCACACAGGCTGCTCCCTGGTCTCCATCAGCTTCTTCAGCAGCCCTCCTGCAGAAATAGCAAAACTGCCCCAGTGGGTGTATTAAAGCAAGGAATAGAATCATAGAATCATAGAATGGCCTAAGCTGTAAGGGACCTCAAAGATCATTTTAATCCAGCATCCCTGCCGCCAGGGACGCCACCTCTTGACTAGATCAGGCAACACATGGGGACCGAACGGGAACAGCTTATGGCTGAACTTGAGTCTGCTTCTAAGGCATCTCAAGACTATTTGGAGACTCTTGAATCTACCACAGAATTGACATTTCAACAGTTTCACTGAGAGTGTCAGAACAAAAGAGATCTTATTTGTGTCACCCAAAAGATGACCCAGTGTCAACCCTGAAGTGCTTAGGCAGTTGGAAAAGATCATTGTAGATTTCTTCCAGGTGAACCATTCTAACAATATCAGGTGGTGTTTAGAAGAGCAAAGGGAGGAGGAGCTGGGCCTGTTTTGACTGCCAGTTCAGAGCAGATTAGGAGGACAGGCGCAATCTGGGATTCAGAGAGATGAGAAACAGCAATGAGGGGCCTCACACAAACCCTGTGCTCTGCTGGAAGGTAAAGAAAAGCCACAGTCTGTCCCCATCCCACTTTAGAGTTGTGGCAGCTGGACAAGAGGCCATGTGGGATGACTCTCTCACCTGCCCCTTTCTTTCACAAACTTTGGTTTTCCACACAGAAAAGCATCACTGCAGGCTACATTTTTCAACAGGACATGAAAATCCACACTGAGATGCAATCATACAGAGAGTGGATGTAAGGGAAAAGGAGAGAGAG